TTTAAAGTGATGAAAGGGAAAAATGTACAACCAAGAATACTCTATCCAGCAAGGCTCTCAGAGTTGATGGAGAAATCAAAAGTTCACAGATAAACAAAAGCCAAAAGAATTCAACACCATCAAACTAACTTTACAACAAATGTTAAAGGAACTTCTTTAGTCATCAAATCACCAGAAAAGAGATACACACACCCCAACGTTCACATCAACACTACTGACAATAGCCAAGACATAGAAGCAACCTAAATGTCCATTGACAGATGACCAGATAAAGAGCTTGTGGTGTGTGTGTATGTATATGTGTGTGTGTGTATATGTATATATATATATATATAATACATATATATATACATATGCACACACACACAATGGAATACTACTCAGACATAAAAAAATAAAATGGCATTTGCAGCAACATGGATGGATCTGGAGATAGTTATACTCCAGAAAGTGAAAGAAAAATACAATATTATATCACTTATACGTGGAATCTTTAAAAAAAAAAGACACAAATGAATTTATTTACAAAACAAAGACAGATCCATAGACAGAGAAAACAAACTTACGGTTATGAGGTGGGGGTTGGGGGGTGGGGAGATTGGGAATTTGGAGTTCAGGATTTGCAGATACTAACTACTATATATAAAATAGATAAGCAACAAGGACCTACTGTATAGCACAGGGAACTATATTCAATATCTTGTAGTAACCTCTAATGAGAAAGAATATGAAAAGGAATATATATATGTATAAGTGAATCACTCTTCCGTACACAAGAAACTAACACAACAGTGTACATAGACTATACTTCAATTACTTCAATTATACATATTTTTAAAATGATCAATGAATTTCAACAAGATTGGGAAAAAAAAATCCTCATATTAAAATCAGGGTAGTGATACTGTGGAACACTAAACAAAAAGGAAACATCTTAAAAGCAGCCCAGGAGAAAAGTTAGGTTTTTAACAGAGAACAACAAGTATATCAATAAGTTTCGGAAGAGAAATAAGGGAGGTCAGACGACTGAAGAATAACAACTTCAAAGTGTTGAGAAAAACTGTTAAGCCAGAAAAATTTCCTTTCAAAAATGAGAGTAGAGAGATGGGTATAATAGCTCAGTGGCAGAGTGTGAGCTTAGTATGCACGAGGTCCTGGGTTCAATTTCCAGTACCTCCATTAAAAAAAAATGAGAGTAAATGTTCACATGAAGACTTGTTCATAGCCAGTAATATTCACAAGAGTCATCAGGAAACAATAGAAATGCCTATCAACTAATGCATTTACAAACAAACAATGGTATATCCATACAATGGACTACTCGTAAAAAAGAACTGCTAAGACACATAATAACATGGATGAATATCTCAATGCAACATGCTAAGTGAAAGAAGACAGAATATACTGTATGATACCATTTTTATGACATTCTGGAAAAGATGAAACCACAGTCAGAAAGGAGATCAGTGGTTGTGAGGGTTTATAAAAGGAGGGGACTGACTACAAAGGGGTACAAGATAAACTTTTGAGTTGATGAAATGTTTTATATCATTACTGTGGTTGTGGTTACACAACTGTACGCATTTGACAAAATTCATTGAACAATACACTTAAAACTGTGAACTTTAAGTAATTTATATCTGTTGATTAAATAAAGCTGATTTTTAAAAGTGAGGATGAGCAATGCAAATGAAAAAATGAAGATTTTTTAGACAAAAAATGAATTATGAGCAGAAACTCACTAAAATAAACCTTTTAAAAGAAAATTCGAGATAAGGAGAACGAACTGGTAAATGTAAACAAACTAAAAAAATAAGGTGGTGTACATAAAAAATTCATAATTAATAGAGAGAGAGAAGGAATTATAATACTGGATAATAATACTATATAAATTGGGAAGGCTGATGATACAGAGTTAATGTATCCTACTTAAGTTGTTCAGGATATTGATCAGCTTTAATTTTTATTAAATTGAAACAACCAGCTAAAGAATTGCCACAAAGGATTAAAAAAACCCAATCAACTATAAGCTACTTATTAGACACAGAAAAGTTGAAGTAAAAGGAAGAAAGATATACCAGTTAAATCCTACCAAAAGGAAGATAAGCATATTTCTATTAATATCAAACAAGAGAGACTATACACCAAGTTTCAATAAAATTCTAAGAACTGTTATCATACAGACCAATTAAAGCACGTAAGTTGGAAATTTAACAAAAAGAAATCTAAACACACACTGCATATCATAATAGTGTTTAAAACTAGATTAGGATGAAACTGCATTAATAAAAAAGTAGTTCAAAGTACTTACAGGGAATTTAAATCCTTAAATACTTTCATTAGAAGAGAAAAATTAATGAGCAAAGAATACCAATATTCCAATTAAGAAAATTTTAAGAAGTAATAAACCTAAAAAAATGGAAGGAAATGAAACATGAGTAGAAATCAATTACCAAGACAGAAAATGCTATGATTTGCATTGGAGGTATCGCTAGCAAAATAACATAAGACACAAGGATTAGAAAGGAAAGCCAGAACAAATTCATATGAAATGGACTGTTGACAAAGGCAAAAATAATTGTAATATTAAAGAAAAGAAAAAAGAAAAACAAAAACGACAAAAAAAGAAAGGGGTAAAGCAAAAAACCTTACACTCTTGAAATTAATAGGAGTTTTATATGGCTGACAAACATAAAATCAATTATGTAAAAGTCAACTGCATATCTAAACACCAAAAACAAACTGAATATGTAACAAAAGTTAAGGTTCTCAGAAATAAATACACCAAAAGATATACAAGTTCTTCTGGAGAAAACCATAACAATTCAGGAAATTAATAATAAAAAAAACTATCTTCATTAAAAATAGTAAAGAAGACCTAATTAGGCAGAGAATATTCAAATACTCAAAGCAGATTCTAAGGAAGAAATCTGAGAGAAGACTGACATCCTAGAAGATCAAGTAGTGATCTGCCCTACCTGCTACCAAGACTAGTAATAAGACAGTCATATGAGCCCAGAAACAGATCCTCCCATATGTGAAAACTTGTTGAAGACAGGTAGCACTGACTGAAATCAACAGAGAAAGGAGGGGCTTTCTAGTAAACGAAGATAGGACAACTGGGTACTCACTTAGAAAAAAGTGAAACCAGATTCCTACCTTAAAACATAAACAAAAATTAATTTCCAATGGATTAAGGACTTAAATCTCATTAAAAAAATGCACACACATATCACCATCTCAAGAGTAGGGAAGAATTTCTTAAAACACTGTAAGCACTAACCATAAAGGAAACACACAATATATATGATACATTCAATCACACCATAATTAATAAATCCTGTATATCAAAAGATACAAAGAACCAAAACACAAGTCACAAATTGGGGGAAAAAAATGACAAGATGTTCAATCTAATTAGTAATTAGAGAAAAGCAAATTCAAATCATGAATTACTATTACATACCCAGACAGCCCAAAATTAACAACTGCACTATATGAATGCTATGTATCAATTTTTCAAAAAGTAGATTTAACTTAAAAAGAACATCTCTGGAACAAATGTTTTCTAGTCCCCAGCAGGTGATTATGTGGTCTGTTTTCTGCCAGCATGACGAAGACAGCCTCTGACACAGGGATTAATCAACATTTTGAAGTGGTATTGGACAAGATTTAGTAGAAAACAATGTTCTAAGACATAGGAAGAATTACCATTATCTTTGAAGGATTATCTCCCCTTTAAAGAACAAATCTTTGGCTCTTCAAACAGCATTTAAATGTTATGAAGTAGAAACCATTCAAGTATCAAAAATCTATTAGTCTTCACAGCTACTATTACTGTCAAAAGAGACTCTGTCTCAATATTTATCAGTAGAGTTTTAATATTCACTCATCAAGAGAACATGTTTACTCCAAAAGCTTGTGGTGTCCAAAATCAGAAGTATATCACCTGGGTACTTTCTGACTTCCTCAGAAAAGAGAGTAACTCACATAGGCCACTTACCTGTCATCTGGCCTTTTTGTTCCCCGTTCATAGGCAGAAGAAGGTGGTGAGAGGGAGCCCCTTCGTTTCCTTTTCTCTTTACTTTGAGTTTGTTTGTCTGGGTCTCTCTCTCTTGATCTGTTAGGAGTCTTTGGGGCAACTGTTTGATCTCTGAAGCCAACAGCATCCCTTCCTCGTTCAGTTACTAAGGGAAAAGGGTTTTTAAAAAATTTACTTGCTACATTTTTCTCCATTATGATTAGTGTATCAGCTATAGAATAAAATTTCTACCCAACTAATAGTTCTATGGACTCCTCCTTCATGTACCCAGTCCTGAATTTGGTCTTGTGTGCTTGTGCACTCTACTTCTTGAAAGTCTCTTCCATCAATGCCCTTCTCTACCTTTCTCCACCAAAGTCTCAGTCCAAGCCTTCATCATTTCTAACAAGTTCTGTGGAACACATGCTCTCAATATGTTCCTGTAAGGAAGTCTATTTGTCAGTTCAAAATGTAAAAGCCTACCACTGCCCCTGTAACTCTGCGTATCTACAATTTGTAGAAGAGCACACTGGCATGCTAAGCATAAAAACCTCAATTAAGAAAAGTCTCTTAAAAAAAAAGGATTAGACAACTTTCTACAAACCATAATTTCAAAAGACAAATATTTCAAATGTAGGTGATAATCAGTGATTATTCAGGAAATTATCAGAGAGCTGTATCTTCAAAAACAAGAATGCCAGCTTTCTATTCAAGATAGTAGTTAACCTTTTCCAGTCTATTTACCTAGATGATTCTCATTTATGTTATCCTCACCCAATTCCACTGCCACCGCTCCCAAAAGTTGTCCTAAATACTACTTTCCACCTATCGTGCCACCAAGTCTCTCATTTTCCTAAGAAGTCTAAATCCCCCCAGTTAACATTTCAATACAAATTGACTGGTATTACATGCTGCTGCTTTGTGTATATTAGTACTGCTACCTGACTAATTATATACTGCCTCTTCATGAGGAGAGAATTTCTTATAAAATATCTCTCACAGCCAAAGTAGATTCTCAATAAACATTAATTGTATTTTTTCCTTCTCATCTCAGAAAAACATGCTATCAGTTTTTTTCCTGAGCATCAGGGTCAGGTTTGCAAATACCATTCTCATAGTTCTTTTAGATGGCCTAAAACTCCACTTACTTACCAAACAGTTACATACACACAGCCATGTATGAGGATTTATCAGTGAGAAGATAACAGAACTAACTCATCTCATACCACATGCTGACAGAAAATGCTGTACAATTAAATGCAAACTGTTCAGCTCACAACGTATTAGTACAACATCCTTCCATGAAGTATTATTATCTAGTTTCATCTGGATCTGCCCATGACTACTCTATTTCCTCCTTCAAACCCAGGTTCATTGCCCTGGTATCAATTTCCTTAAAATGTGACAATTCTTTCACTATATCTTGGTAAAATTAAAAAAAAAAAAAAGGAATTATTCCAACAGTTTATATTCTGGTTCTGCTTCTCAGAATATGTGAGGCAAAAAAAATCATCTCATTTATTCAGGCCTAATTTCTCATATTATAAAATGAAAATAAAGCTAGACTACATATTTCCCAAAGTATTTCACAATTCTTATGAATTTTGAAAGTTCTAAGCTTTTTAACTGCATGACATTGAGGGGTAACAGAAGTCAGGCCTGCATTATAAGCATTTCTTTAATCTAAAAGTCTGAGATGGGGGGGTTCCATATGTGAAGCTGAGACTAAAGTTGGCACACAAACAGCTGCTCCCTGAAAAGATTATAGCTGTCCATTACAGACCATGCCCCACATCTGTCAGAAGGCCATACAGATATTTGCAAAATACTGGGGGAGGGGCCTGGTAGGTATTTAAGCTTTGCCTGTCTTGCTAATGATTTCAACTCAGTGGGCCCAGAGAAGCTAGCCTCTGATGATCAACATTATATAGTGGTGTCACTAGTTTCTGCCAACCAGTCCCTCTCAATCATGCATGCCTGCTTTCTTATGAGAAGAATTCTTTGTGGCACTAAAGCAGGATATCTAGCTATGAAGAGACTAAACCAGTAGAATTAAAAATATCCAAAAGATAAAACAATGATGTAAAGAACACTTTATAGGGCTTTAACCAGTAAGGTTATTTAACTAGTAAGATTTAAGATATGAAAAGCTCTTCATGTAAAAAATAAAGAAAAAGACCAAAAACATGATTATTCTGTCTAAACATGATTATTCTGTCTCCTTCACCCTATATTGTGTCAGTGCTGGAAGGGCACAAGAGACAGACAATAGCCAAGATAACTGATTCCATTGCTTTAATCTCAAAAGAAGTATGCTGGAAACCTAACTAAGTGGTAAAGCCCAGAAAACAGACTGCAATGGTCTCATTATTTGTTCTGTAATTATGACTCTTCACCTTTTGAGGGGCACTGACTCCTTGAGAATCTGATGCAACTTTTGAATTTTTCCCAGAAAAAAGGATGTATACCAAGGATGTTGCATACAACCATCTACAGGGAAATAGTTTACAGACTTCTAGGAGTGCGGGTTTAAGAAAGTCTGCTCTAGAGAAACGAATGACAGAAAAAACTACTAAAAGACCATGACTTCAAGGAAAGCAACAACACAGGTAAAGGGACATCTCCTTTGACAAAAATCTACTAAGAAAGAATAAAAGTGCATGTTTTCAAACTTACACCAAATTTTCACTTACTTAATTACATATTATCTAGTTTCAAAACAAAATAGCTGAAGTCCTTATGTTACCTCTGCATATTTCTAAAACAATATTTGTAAAGCCATATACATAAAGTATCTCTGAATACCTACTTGTGTTCTCCTTTTCAGTTTGACTTTTCTTTGGAATTCGATATACCTCCTGAAAAAAATAAACCACAAGAAGGATTATTAGTGTAGAGAGGAAGTGATGATTGCTTTGAAGCTGAATGATTTCACATGGCAACAAAGAAATGCAAAGGAACAGTCTGGTATTTAATTATTCTCCAAAATTTGTCTTCTATTTGGCTTTAGATAACAACAGATTCTGTTTCCTTAAAAACAAGTAAAAACATAGCACAAACACACACATTTTTAAAAGTCTACCAGGCTTGTATGATCACATTACATTAGCCAAGTAGCATACTAAGTAACTAGAGCATTTTATTTCTGGCAGGAACACATCTCCTGATCATCTTAATTTCCACATGCCTTCGGCATATAAAATGAAGTTGTCTATAGTCCCTTAACTGAGACCTTCACACAAACAATTCTAACATCTCACTTGCCATCCCCACTTAACAGAAGAAAGGTTAGTAATAACTCAGCTATATAAAAACACTTCAGAAATATTTCATGTGTAAAGACAAAATCCTGCTATTCAGCATATTTTTCTGTAAGTACAAAACCAACTTGGCTAATGGTCAAATGTAATATCTACTTTTATACTGCTATTGTTATTTTAAAAAATGAAAAATAAGTATTAGATCATTGTTGCTCCTCAAATACCATCTAATACTCTACTAAAACCGTTCTTGAGAAATGTAAACTATGTTTTTAAGCCTTGAGGTATCTTTTCTTGCTGTATGAATCTAAAGCCTAGAAATGATTGTTTCCTGACAATCCCTCACTGTTCTAGTCCATCAAGTAGCTCTTGGGCACACACTTACTTATCCAGTCACCTGGTTGAGTATACAGATGGCAAACCCACACATTCTCAATGGTACATCATATGAAACCCTTCCTTTAGAGTAATCTCATAATATTGATCACACCTATATGACTCAGTAATCCATTTTTAAGGAACTATAGTCCAAGAAAATCAAAGAACTCTTCTTTCCACATGATTGCTGGTCCTAGCAACAATTGTGGAAAATGAAATAACCCATACATCATACAACTGAGGAAAGGTCAAGATGTAATATTCAGTTGTCATTAAAAATGACAAATGTAGACTACAGATACAGGGCAATCTATATGAATATAGATTTAAGATGTCCATCAACAGACAACTGGATGAAGATGTGGAATATACACACAACAGACTACATAGCCATAAAAAAGAATAAAATAATGCCATCTGCAGCAACATGGATGGACCTGAAGACTGTCATACACAGTGAAGCCAAAAAGAGAAAAAACAAAATACCGTTATCACTTACATGTAGAATCTTAAAAAAAGAGACAAATGAACTTATATACAAAACAGAAACAGACTCACTGACATAGAAATCAAAATTGTGGTTACCAGGGGGGGAAGGGGGAAGGTAGAGGGATAAATTGGGAGTTTAAGATTTGCAGATACTAACTACTACATATAAAACAGATAAACAGCAAGGTCCTACTATATAGCAGAGAACTATATCCAATACCCTATAATAGGCTGTAATGAAAAAGAATATATATAACTGAATCACTATCCTGTACACCAGGAATTAATACAACATTGTAAACTGACTATACTTCAATTAAAAAAAATTAAAAATTGAATACAGATTTTTAAAAATCCTTCAATACTCCATGCATGCTGATAAATTATCTAATAAAGATAATGATTGTTATAATTAAATGTGCACTTATCCTGCATGCCAGGTATTATGCTAAGCATTTCAAGTGCATTATCTTATTTGAGTTTCACAAAAACCCATTGAAATCATTATCTCCACTTTACAAATGGGAAAACTTACTTAAAAAGCTTAGCAACTTGCCCAAGGTTATGATGCTATCAGATGGTCTGACTTCAGAGTACTTTTATCATCTGTACTAGATGACACAGTAGCATTATTTTGGGAAAGAGTACCATTTTGGGGATTTATGCACAAATGTAGGTGGCATCCTCCATCCTAGCCTCTCTTTCCTATGTAGGATTTCCATTAGAGTTGTGATTTTCAACTCTGGCTGCACAATTAAACCACTCCAGGAAACTTTTATAGAAATACTATCCCAGACAAAATATATCTAAAAGTTGGGCATGGGTCCCAAGCATTTTTTTTAAAGCTCCCAGATGATCCTGATATCCAGGGAAGGTTGAGAACCAGTGAACTACCGGCTTCTCTTAACAGCCTTCACTCACTCCTCTTCACAAGGGAGAATCTGAGAGAAAGAACTATCCATGCCTGTCCTCAGAGCCATCTGGGCTCTTTCTCCTCTTGGGGTGCTTCTGCCTGCAGAGAGGATGAATTCCAATCTGTTCCTCTGAGGGATGCCTGGAGTTGTCTAACTGTTGATGTCTAGCTGTAGGTATGATGAGTCAGGGATAAAGATAGGAAGGACAAAGCTGATACTTTTAGCTCTGTCTCAATTCTCTGTCCACTCTCAGAGGGGTTACCAAACTTGGGAAAAAGAAAGAATGCCATTTATCAGCATCTACTCACACTATAGGGAAATATGTATTCTGCTAATTTTAAAAAGCTTGAAAATGACTGTTGTATTAGGTACTCTATAAACCTAGGCACTCCAAAAGATGACATGTTCATTCACAAAGGGTGCTTAAAACAGACATACTGAGGGATACATGTGTCAACTAAGAATTACATAATTTTAACCCATTTAGTTTCTTTTGCATAAGGTCTTGGCATTTTAAGTATTCACTACAAACATTTACAGTAATTTATTTCAGACCTCAAGCTGGGGACCCATTATGTGATGGCAATTAATGTATGAGAGGAAATGCTTCTCAAAGATATATTCTTAATTCCATTCAAAAATTTAGAGCAACTGCTAAGTAGAAAACGTATTCTGATCACTTGTACATATGAAACTAATACACTGTTGTCAAATATACTTCAAAGTTTTAAAAAAGTATTCTGATGTTCACAAAATGGATACTACTGACTAGTGACCAAAAGCTATTATTAGTGTGTGCCTAACACTAATGGGAACAAGTTCTATTAACATACACCTAAGCACTAGGAATTAAAACTTGATACTCTTCTTCATAATGTCAAAGCTGTATATAAAATACAAGCTGGAGACTCAGATTATCTACTATGAAGCCCTAAAATGCAGTAGAATTTTTCCAAAGTCCCATAAAAATGAAAACTGAGAAGAGAGCAGCCACGTAAAGATTACTGTAACACTTCTTAAGATCATTCTGTTGTGTGAATAAATGGCAACAGTGTTAGTCTACAAGATCTGGAAGACTGTTTGGAATATCCATGTCATACCAGCAGGGCACAATATCCACTGCAGCTGGCTTCATTTACAGTAACCTTTCATCTAAAATCACTTTACTTTGTTAGGAACTCTACTCAAGAGACTGGCATATTATGAAAGAACACTGAATTGTGAGTCAAGAGACCTAAATTCTGGGACCAACACTGCCCTCGTGGGGCCTAAAGAATCTGATTTCCCACTCCACCTAATATTCTTTACAAATCACCCTGTTTTATTTCTTTGCTGTCTTGGTGCTATTCCCAGCTAACACACAAATTCATATATACTCAAACTATAATCCTTAAAGGCCAAGATTGTCTTATTCTTTGCTGTATCTCTAGTATTAGAACAGTGTCTGGCATATAATCAACACTCAATTACTTGCTGAATAGATCAACAAAATTTGCAGAAATCAACCACATAGTATTAAATAAGCTCAAAATATTGCATATCTCATGCTTTTTAAAATCACTAAGCCAATTCTCTTTTATCCCTGGTAAGATTGCCGTTTACAGGCCTCATATGTAACCATAAACATTAATGTATTTCGAGGGTCAGATTAGTAAGTGTACCTCTGCAACATTATAAACTTTTTCCAATGCTTAGAACAGCCTACCCTTGGCCAATCACTCCTCTTCAGTCAACGGCTCAAAATCAATCTTCAGAAACTGATCGATACACACTGAATCACTGACTAGCTCATACAATACCAATGCAAACAACTTCCCTTTATAAGTGCTGTGTGTGGAGATGTTTTTAATTTGTGGACACAAAGACAGCCCAAGTTCTATGATGGTTATCTGTGGAAACCTGGTTTGTTCATATGTAAAGAAAATAGATTCTAAGTAAACACATTCTTTCATGGGAAAAAAATTTACTTTTAATTATATGGTTTGTAGAATATCCATTTTTACTTAAAAAACAAACAAAAAAACATTTGAATAAGACATCTACTACTAACAGGTCATTAACGTGGGCCTAAGCTGGAATGTTTTCTTCCAACAGTTTCAAAAAGTACTCTTGGGGGTGGAGGGCATAGCTCAGTGGTAGAGTGCATGCTTTGCTTGCACAGGGGCTTTTGTTGTCAAAGCACTCCAGCACATTTTTAACACATCCCAAATGAACTGATAGAACAGACAGCAGAAAAAGAACTAAAACAAAATTACAAAACAATACTTTATAAGACTGCTTACTTTTCCTAGAAAAGATAAAAACTTAACTCTGATATCGAGTGTTACTGAGTTAAACAAGACTTGGAGTACAAAATAATTTACAATGAGTATAATTTTTTATTTTTTATTATATAGAGATCATACTGTGTATTCTGTAATAACATTTAACTTTTAAACTATTTTTTCTTTGTTAGCAAGTACAGATAAAATTGTGTAGTACATGCCAACCAAATCTTTTTCCTGATAGCAAGAATAAGAACAAAAAAGAGAAAGAGACTCTGAGCAAGGTGCCATTTTTATAGCCGGGAGAACAGACAAAAAAGCAGCAGGAGGGGACAAGAAAATACAAAAGCTAAGCTGTAACATATGGAGGCTAGAAGTTAAAGTGCCACCTCACGTAAAGAGAGTTCTAGGAGAGAAGGTAATATTTTAAGAAATAATGAAGATGAGTTTTTCTAGAATTAGGGAAATAAAAAGTCTTCATCTAGGTTTATATGCTCCCCCACCAAATCTCTTATTGGCTCATATAAAGACGTGTAGCAAATGATATCCATAC